AGACACACAAACAACTGCAGATGTACTTAGCTACCTCATCTTTGACAAAGGATCTGACCATCCTCAGTGGAGGAAAGATAGCCTCTTCAATAAATTGTGTTGGAAAAAGCTGGATTTCAACCCACTAAAGATTAAAATTTAGCCCTTATCTTTCACCATGCACTAAACTAAAATCCAAGTGGATTAAAGATCTAAATATTAAAACAGAATCACTAAACTTGCTGGAAGATAAGTTAGGTAGTTCTTAAAGACATTGGCAAAGGAAAATACTTTATGAACAAATCCTCAGTAGCATGGAAACAAGCAAAAAGAATCAACAACTGGGATCTCATTTTATTAAAAAGCTTCTGAACTGCAAGAGAAACCACCAACAGAGCTAAAAGAAAGCCCACAAATGGGAGAAATTTTTTACCAGGTATTCCTCAGACAAAGGTCAACTATCTAGAATAATAAGGAGCTGAAGAAACTCAGACCCCCAAAATATAAAGACCCAATTCAAAAATGGGCATCTGAAATGAACAGACATTTCTCAAACAAGTAAAAGCAGAAAATAAACATAGGAAAAAATATTCAGCATCACTGGTCATTCGAAAGATGCAGATGAAAACAACACTGAGTTTCCACCTCTCCCCAGAAAGAACAGCTGATGAGAAATCAACCAATAATAAAGGTTGGTGGGGTTGTGGGAAGAAAGGAAACTTTCTTCATTGTTGACGGGACACAGACTGGTTGGTGCAAGCACTGTGGAAATCAATTGGGAGATACCTCAAAAATCTAGGATTATAGGTTCCATTTGACCTAGATATTCCTCTGCTGTGTATCTTTCCAAAAGAATTAAAAGGATCATGCCAGACGATATATGCAAACCTATGTTTGTAGCAGCCCAGTTTGTAATTCCTAATGATAGCCCTTCTAACTGGGATGACATGGAACATCAGTGCAGTTTTGATTTGCATTTCTCTGATGGCAAGAAATGTTGAACATTTAAAAATATATTTTTAAGGTATTTCAACTTCTTTTGAGAACATCTATTCAGCTCATTTGCCCACTTTTTATTGTGTGGATCATTATAAGGGGTTCTTCTTCGAGTTCTTTATAT